TTGATTAATGAATGTAGAATCTTTCCTGTGTAGAAACAGGTATATATCCATCCTTTTAGTTAATATTGGTTATACATCTTCGCCAACGTGGTCACTTTGACGTGGTGTAACAACATATAATGTATTCGATCTTCATTGGATACTTTCGGTCTAGTGATTAATCTAAGCTACGCTTAGGAAATCATTTTGGTCCTTCGACACGGTGTAAAGATTATCAAGCTTGTCTCGTCTGATTAATTAAAACTGGGTAGTGTGTTCGATCCTCACTGGGTGCCACATACTTTCGATCTTGTGCTACATCTAAGCTACTCTTTGAAAATCGCCAGTATTAATATGCTTTGTTGCAATGAAAATGATTTCGTAATCCATTTTTTATCGGCAAGAATTCAGAGAACTCGAAATGCAAACATCGTCTATGTGTCGTGTTTCCTCAGAACATAGGCGATTATGGCTATCCATAATTTTCTATCCTTTGTAGTATCATTATCGTTTCATCTATTTACGAAAACGTGTTAGGTATGTTGTTCACTGAATGCCCTATGTGTATCAAATTCTTCAAGTTCTCTTTCCTTATAATCTTTCTCAAGAATTTCAAATAGGTCTATTTAATTTTCAGTATAAAGGTCCTTTTTGTTTTCTCCTTAAAATCCCATTGCTCATACACTTTGTTAATAACATTCTCAGCAACCTTCTGTAAAACCACATTTCAAATTTAATTTTAATTTAAATTACCCAGTATCCTCTGTATCTCTGGAAGGATACTAAAAACTATAATCGTGTGTGTGTTTCGCGAGTTAGCTTAAAAGAGACATAACACCAAAACAAATTTAGAAGGATATTATACCTTAGATTTTTGTCGTTCATTTCAAATTTTTCTTAAGATTAGTCAATGGATTCGGGAAGTAGGTTCGTTTTCCTGTTTTTACGGAATTTTCAAATGGAAATCACTATGTTTTCAATACACATCCTTATCTCAATTTGCGTATATAAAGACGCAGTTGCATATTACAATGTGCGTGAAAATAATAAACATTCATAATGCATAATAATGATAACAACATTATCTCTATCTATAAAAGGCAGGATGTGTGTGTGTGTGTATGTAACGAACGCACGGCCGCAATTTTCGACGGATTTGCACCAAAATTTACATGCACTTGCTCCAAGTTAGTGAAAAGGCCAAGACCGAATTTGCATTTCCCAACTCCTATCAATAGTGGAAATAATCTATTTTGTCATGCTTCTACGGCAGTTTTCATGTAGTTTGCAGCCATTTTCTACTAGCCAGAGTGAGAGCCTATATCTGGCTGCCACGAATAGGCAGGAAGATTCTATTGGCCAGCGTGCGAGCCAAGAGCTGACTGACATGAATGTTAACTAGCATGCTAGCATGCAAAAAAAATCGATAGCTGCATTCGTCACAAGTGGGAAAAATTTAAATCTGCATGGCACTTTACTCCAATTAGCTCATTCACTTGCTTAAATTCAACGTTGATTTTGATACTGCAGAACTGGGTTGGGTGTGAAAAATATTTGTTGTTAACATTCTTTTTTCATTCGGTTTTTCCAGTTACGAGTCCTTTTTTAAAGCTGATCGTTTTGTGTTCATTTTGTTTAGTTCTTTTTTCGTAACAGATTTAATGTTTAGTATAGAGCTTAGAAAAAAATCGCAGTGTGAGATAGGCAAGAAGTAAGGCATGTAGCAAGATCAGCACGGAAAAGGGCACTCCTTTAAAGGCAAGGAAGGGCAAAAATATTTTAAGTCAAGTGATAGCGATTTCTGTATGAGTCGTACGATTTTAGAATCAAGCACGGGCAACGCCGTGCTTGATTCAAAAATCTAGGATGAATTTAAATAAACATAACGCTAGTATGAATTTAAATAAACATAACACAATATATATTTATACTGTTCACTACACTACCGTAGAACTTTTTCATAAACAATTATCGCAAGTGTTTGGCTTGATGGATGAAGACTCTACGTGGTTGTGTTATTTTAAAACGTCGTCTTTATGGTTGGAAAATTGTGTCAAATGAATTGATCATAAATAAAATATAGATACACCTTGGTTTGCTGCCGTTGCGTATTTCGAAATAAATATAATAAAGAAAAGAAAAGAAACAACTATGTAAAATGAAAAATGTATTATTTTTTTAAAATACCGAGAAAAAATTAAGTTAATTGTACAAAAAGGAAGCATTCATATTTCATTCTATTTCAACAAATATGAATCTCCTAAGCAGACGAAATCTGTTTCGATTTTTTCTTGTTTTTTTTTTTTTGGAATGATATTCTATGTTAAATATTAAGTTTGATCTTCGTAATATTTTATAATGTGAGTAATAATAATTATTACAATAAGTTGTATTGCAAATAAAAAATAAAATATGTGTAATAAACAATAAACTTGATAATATTGCTACCACATGATTTTGTATCATAAACTGCTTTTAAAATGAACGCAATGAGTTTGTGGGCTGTCTTGCAGCATTTAAAAACACTATCTTTTCTTTATAATGTGATACTTTGTATTGCTTTTGCAAGGAATCTTTCTCTATTCCATTATACCTTCGGATTTTCTAGTCTGTTACTACACGACTCAGGTAATTTAAATTTGATAGCTGCTGAATTGTGTCGTCTCCAAATTGTAGCTTAAATATTGGGTTATCCTCCTTGCTGACAACCATTTATTCTGTGTTATTACACTTGATTATTTTTCATTCGTCCCTGTTTTTCTTTAATATGTTGTCTAAGACATCCTACAGTATTTTTGTCTGCCAGCAACACGTTTTCATATGCGTATCTTATTAGGTTGGTGCAAAAATAATGACGTAATAATGTCGTTTTTTGACGTATTTTTAACGTCAAAAAACGACATTATTATGTCATTATTTTCGCACCAACCTAATATATTGTTACGATTGGGCTGATTAAAAATAAATCCTACTAAGACATTTAGTTCCTGCCAGATTGCCTCACAGTGAAAGTTCAAAGAAATCTGGAGAAAAGAGGCATCATTTTCTAGAGCATTTTTTTCTATTTTTGTCGATTCGATTCATTTTCTGTTCCGATACTACCGTTTTTTTCTCTGTATATATTATATTAGGTTGGTGCAAAAATAATGACATAATATGTCGTTTTTTGACGTTAAAAAATACGTCTAAAAACGACATTATTACGTCATTATTTTTGCACCAACCTCATAGATTATTCTAATATATTTCCCAAATAAATCAATTATTTCTTACAGTTGAGTAGTTTTTTTGGAGAGCCATTGTAATTCACGTACTAAAGAGCCACAGTGCATAAAGGAATATTAATTGTGAGTACTTTTGTTCTATTTTAACACTCGGTGTTTTAGTAGTATATAGATGATATTAATGTCTATTTCACAATGTAGATTAGTCTTTCTTACCACTATATGATATTAATTAGAGCAAAATTATATTGTAATTAAGGGGAAACCTCCCGAATTCAACTCTCTTAAATTGAGCGTGCTAGTTATAATTAATTATTCTTAAGGCTTTTTCTTCTCTAAGATACGAATTATACTTGCTTATGATGTTAAACGTTGGAGTATTTGATCTAAGGTTCCTTTTCTTTTAAAACGGGCATCTGGATTTAAAACTGGCTTTTGTTCCCATTAGAGCCCATGGGGCCCGCTAGAAAAAGTTTAAGGAATCTGAAATTGGATCAGTCGAAATTTCAAAGCAACGACTGCAGTGAGCGGTACTGCAACTGGTGTTTCGAATGAAAGTTAAAAACAGCGTGAATCTCAAACGAATATCCTGCTTTTCCCAGCAGGATGCAATCATCACAAAAGTCATCGTTATGACTTCATTATTTCTTTTCGTACTTCAAAGAATGCTTTGTAGGAAACACATGACTTTCACCTATTTGCCACTGGGATGCAAGATAAATGGACGCTTTTTCTTCTTTGTTTTCTTCTTCTTCTTCTTCTTCTTTGTTTCTTCTCGAACTAACACTTTCAGTATAAAGATATCTATTAGTAACGGAAATGTTAATAAGCTAATGCGATCATTACAATGAGCAAGATTATTAGTATGCTTATGAAATTCTCATTATGTCTGTTGAAACCTAGAAAAGGTTACTGAATGGGGAATAACTAAAACGGAGGTTGGAAATAATATGGTAATCTTTATAACGTCAACAAAATACAATACTCGTCGGGGAGGGGGTGAAGTAGATAAACCACTGCTAGTGGTGGGCTACTTAGCATATTACCCCCACTTACAATAGTTTCATCTTATTTATGAGGATTGGGACATGCACATTATTATTCATAGGTACGGCATATAACATTATACTATTCATTTTAGTTTTAGTTACAACTATAACATGTGATTTCTATTATCATGTATAGACGTTTGTAATTCTGTAGCGGCAGTTCACATCGTTCGAAGAAGGATAGTCTAGGCGAAGACATACATATTTCATCCGCAGGGAGCCATTTTTAACCCTTAACGTTTGAAAACTATTTTAAAGTTTAGATTTATTCGAAGACTTTTATCGTTTTGTTCTATATGGAAAATTTTGATTATGTCATTAATTTTTTAAATGCCGTAATGTGAACGGATTCTGAATGAGGAATAACCAAAACGGAGATTGTAAATGAAATGGTATTTTTTATAACAGCAACAGAATACAATACTCACCAGCGGCGTGAAGTAGGTAAACCACTGCTAGTGGTGGACTACTTAGCATATTGCTCACACTTACAATATTGTCCAATGTATTTAGGGGGATTGGGACATACTCATTAATGTTCATAGGCACAGTATATAAGAATGTCCATGGAAAAATGTCTCAATTCTCCTGGCCATTGACGATCCCTTCTGCTTCTACTTGCAAGCTCGAACCAGTTTTCTTTATATCAAGTTTTTGAATTGACAGTCAAATAGTTTGATATAACTGAGTTTATCGTTTGTTTTATCGTACAACAATATTTTATAATTCAAATCCCATGTGACTTTCGATGGTAGTATGCATAAATTATTGTTTTTGCTGCCTTTCTTCTTCTTCTTGTTCTTGTTCTTTTCTTCTTCTTCTTCTTCTTCTTCTTGTTCTTTTTCTTCTTCTTCTTCTTCTTCTTCTTCTTCTTCTTCTTATTTCTTCTTCTTTCCTACTACATTTGCTATTACAACCACAGCCACAGCCACCCCACAACCACCTAACTAACAATTTTCCTTTCTATTCTTCTTCCTTTATATGCAGTGTCCATTCAGGACGTAGGTGATCATGGCCCACCACATCTTCCTGCTCTTTATAGCTCTTAATAAGTTTTATATTTTTTGTTATTTCCCCCAAACCCTGTTCTGCCATCTATTTGCCTACGTCCTTCAAGTATGTCACACGTTGCTTCCATCTGTCCCCTTTCTCCTCAAATATTTTCCAAGACCCCCCCTTCCTCATTACGTGTTCCAGAAATTTCAACTGCCACTTCCTGATGTTAAGTGTCAGTATCCTTTTTGTTTCTATTCTCTACAAAACCTCATCATTGCTTATATGGTCGGTTCATCGTATCCTCGGCATCCTTCTGTAAAAAACATTTCTATTACTTCGAGTCTCTTCTTCATCTTTGAGAGATTGTCCAGCATTTGATACCATACAGGAGGACAGAAATAATGTAAAAATTTAGTACTCTTTTCTTTGTTTCCAACGAAATTTTCCTGTCTTTTAATACTCTGAATAGCTTTTGGAATGCGTCTTTGGCCATTCCAGTACGTCTTCGGATCTCAGTGCCAAACTTTCTGTCCTCTGTTAGAATACTTTCCAGATATTTACATTTCTTTACCAGCTTGATTATAATATCCCCGACCTTTAATTTGCATTTTGGGCTCTTCTTCTTTATTAATGACCATGCATTCTGTCTTCTGGTAGTTTATGCTTAGTCCTTTCTTCTGGCTTTCATTTGCTACCTTCTGTCGAAGGTTTTTTTGTTTTTTTAGTTTCCTTTATCATATGTATATCTTATATTTTAGATTGTGGTCGTCAATAATGAATTCTGTTACGTTTTCTAATTCTCTCAGAATTGTCCCTCTGTAGAGGTTTAATAAATCCGGTGAGAAGACACGTGCTTGTCTTACACCCCCATTCTATTTTTGTATATCTGCTGAACTCGTTTTCTGTTCCTATGCAAGCGTTTTGCAGACAGTTTAGATTTTTGATTATTCTAATGCCTTTCCCGAATATTTCAAGGTTGCTGAGCAGATCTAACAGATCTTTATGTTATAATTTGTAGAATGCCTTTGCGTAGTCTATAAAACACGGGTACACGTTCTTCTTTCTATTATTAATAACAATAATATATTATTCTTCTTCCTGTTTCATCGTACAATAATTTCTTATAATGCATTTTCATTTGATGTCAGAATTGATCAAGAGTTGCATTTCTGATATCCAGGTTATTGCAATACATATACATCTTTTCTTCGTCTCCTCTTCGTCACCTTCTTCTTTTCTTCTTCTTCTTCTTCTTCTTCTTCTTCTTCTTCTTCTTCTTCTTCTTCTTCTTCTTTTCTTCTTCTTCTTCTATATTTTACATTTTCTTCCCATTCTTCTTTTATCCTTCCTCTATATTTTCATTTTTATTTTCTTCTTTTTTCTTGTTCTTCTTCTTCTTCTTCTTTTTCGATCTCTCTTTCCGACCTTTATCGAACATAAATTTCTTTCTATTATTAATACCAACAATACATTATTTCTCTTGCATCTCTTCCTTCTGTTTCTTTGTACAATAATTTCTTACAGTGCATCTTCCATTTGATGTCTCCTTGATCAGGATTTCAACTTTTCAGGTTTCCAAGTTATTGCAATATATATAAATATTTCCTCTTTTTCTATTCGCCTACTTCTTCCTCTTCTTGTTCTTCTTATTCTTCTTCTTCTACGACAATAAAAAAAACTGCTACTGTTACGACTGCTGTTAGTAGCAGAACAACAGCGTATAAGCTAAGCGTATAAGCTACTGCAGCCATAATAATGAGCACTATTTCTAATGTACTTACAAGAACCGTATAATATCAGTGATGCATGCGTCTATTTCTTAACAGTGAGGGTCGCTTCTCCTGATTTTTATTCCAATACATACAGGCTACGTATTGAAAGTGTTTCGAAGAAATATTACGTTACAAATTTTAAATTTCTCTTTAGATATCAATTTCTCCTTGTCACCTAAAAAAGGCGAAGACGGTTAGTGGGACAAGTGTAATAAGATCATCGAAAAGTGGCAACAAAAAAGTAATCTTATAGATTCGTGTCAATTTTTAAAAAGACAAAAACAACTAGCATTACAATACAACAACGATTATTTTTTTCATTTTTTCCTCGACAGGCAGAATTGACAGAGTAACTTTATAAATAAATTAGAGCTTTGATATTTAACAATTATACACGTGAATTCATGGGTTTCATAAATACATAATAAATATATAATAAATACATAATAAATGAATATTGTAGATATACATGCAACGTGTGAATAATACTAATGATTAAGAGAAGAGAGCGATTTAAGAAAAGAAAAAAAAACAACAGTGTTTGACAATGTTAAATAATATTTCAAGAGAACGACTGTCAAGTTATATTTTTCCTGAATTTTCAAGTATAAAAAATATAAATCTACAAAACGTTATAAGTCTTTGTACAAACATTGCTTGTCTTGAAAAAACTTATAATTTTTTTATAGATTTGTCTATTTTATACTTAGCCATTTTAAAAATATATAATTTGATGAGAGCCATTCTGTTGAAATATTGTTTAACAATGTTAAACACTTTCTTTTCTTTTCTTACATCGTGCTCTTCTCTTAACTATTAAAAATATTGTTACGTTAGGTCAATCATTTTGTTTAATAATGATAATAATATTAATAATAATAAGGTAACGGCGTATGTGCACTGGAAGATATGCAAGAAGCATAAAATCGAAACCACTGAGAGGTAGTATGAGCACCAACCAGACACAGTTACACAAAATAACGATGTAACTCTCCTCTGGGACACGCCAATTCAAACTGACTGGGAAATAAACGCCAACAGACATTATATTATTATAAAAGACAAGAAATTCAGGAAGTGTATGCGTATTGACATAGCAGTAACATCTGAGAAAAACACTCCCATGAAAAGTCACGAGAAATTGCCCAAATTACAAAGACCTGTATATCGAGATTAACAGGATGTGGGGAATGAAGACTGAGGCAGTACCAATATTAACCGGAGATCTGGGTCTCGTGAGAAAAAGAATGGATAATTTTACGAGGTAAAATCCGATGTAAAATGAACATATAAGAGGCTCAGACGATCACTCTACTTGGAACATCTCATATACTAGGAAACGTTTTACCAATTAAATAACAGTTCTGCTACAGTGCCTAAGAACCATAGTTTGGACGCAGCACTGGAGGATACTAAGCAGGAAAAATAACATACAATAATAATAGTAATAATAATAGTAAGAAGAAGAAGAAGAAGAAGAAGAAGAAGTAAAGCTGCAAAATACTTAAAAAAGAAAGCAACAGCAAATGAAAACGAGCAGATATAGATGGCAAGATAAACCTCTTCACGATCAATACACTGCCCGTACCAAGCAAACTGATGTAGAGAAAACCTGTACCCATGTGTGGCGACGTAGTGCAGGGTTAAAAGCTGAAACTGAAGGTTTGTATTCTTACTGTACTGTACCAATACTTGTTAGACATATACTGAAAAATAGTCTTAGTTCAAAAAGCAGATTATATAATAAATATCCAGAAATAATTAACCATCTTGTATCAGGTTGCGCCTTATTGGCACCCATTGAATTTAAAACACAGCACGATAAATTGGGCCCGTATATTCACTGGAATATCTTCAAAGCTTACGGAAAGGAAACTGCGAAAAAATTGGTTTGAACACCACCCAGACCCGGTTACGTCGTGATTAGAGACTGCAGAGACAAACCGTGCCTGCTTATTTAGGTATCAGTCCCTGCAGACTGCAATGTATATTTGAAGATCAAAAACTATCAACATACAATGACCTTGAAATCGAAATCTCAAAAATATGACACCTGAGGACATTAATAATTGTAATTGTAATTGGAACCCTTGGATTGATTGGATAAGGTTTCAATAGACTCATTGAAAGAATCCCTGATAGCCAAATGTCTTAAAGAAATACAAAAAAAATACTCACAAGTACAGCCCCCAACTTACAAAGGGCTTTAGCGATGTAAAATATGTCTGATCATTTTTTTTTCAAAACTGCTCAGTGGAAAATGTCACGATCTCATTTTTGACCTTAGGTCTCTGGTCGGAACACGGAAAGAAATGAGTATTCATTAGAAACTAAAGGAAATAAAAAATAATAATAATAATAATAATAATAATAACTGGGAATTATATTAACATAAGACAGAGAGTCAAAATTTGAACTGTTCTAATATTTCATTGCACCAGAAATGAAAAAATTAAAAAAAAACAAAAAACAAAACAAAAAACAACAAATGAACAACAACAATAATAATAATAATAATAATGCAATAATAATAACATCTATTTTAAAAAATAATGAACAAAAAGGGTTTACGGATGTAAAGACCAATTACTTATTAATAGAATGATCTCAAAAAAAATTCGATAGTGTACCCATTCCTGGAAAGTATGTACAAGGTATCACCTGTTATCATCAATTTCATCAAACAATGTATGTCGATATGGAAAAAACTTTACCTCAAATCATAAAAATGGAACCTATAAGTCTGGCGAAATAAAACATCAATAGAGGAATAACAATCAATAGCATTAACCAGCCAACTTAAAAGACAGAATTTACAAAATAGCTCAAAAGAAAATAAACCATCTATTTTACATGGATGACTTAAAATTGTATGCTAGGAATGACAATGAGCTGGAAGGTCTTCTGCAAACTGTAAAATGCTTCAGTGAAGACATTGGAATGAAAAAAATGTTCAAAGCTACAGTTTTACGAGGATCTACAACAAACTTCCTCTATTAGTTTAGACCCTGCTGAAAGAAGGAATCACCATAAGAAAATGAAAAGAAATAGTCTATAGAAGATTTATGACTGGTATTAAAAACTGAATTGAATTCTCAGAACATGGTTGCCATCCCAGTGGTCCAATATAGTTTCAACATCTTGAACTGGACCTAAAAATGACATCAGACAAATGGATTCTAAAACAAGAAAGCTTCTTTTCTAAAGTATAAGCATCATCCAAAGGCTGATGTAGACCGATACATATAAAGAAGGTGGAAGAGGTCTTATTCAGCTAGAATTGTCATACAAGACAACAACTATTGGCTTACTAACTTACATGGAAACAACAAATGACTGGATGATAAAAAAAGTGAAACAACATGAAAACAGAAAAAAAAATATTCAATAATAAAAAGAAATTTTATTTACATTTAGTAGATTCTGTAGTAAATCAAAACAGAACTCAAGAACCAACTATTGCAGCGGATAAAGCCCTTGAACAGATGAAACAACGCTGGCAAGACAAACCTCTGTATGGAATATCCAGAACGTGCAAATAAACCCAATGTTGATAAAGTTAATACTCATCGATGGTTGAATAAAGTCTGAAACCGAAAAGAGTCTTTTGTATCATATATAATAATTTTGCAGGTTCTGTGACAAATACCAAGAAACAATAGACCATCTAATTCAGGATGTTCTTGTTGAATTTCGTCACGATAGAGTGGGGCAATACTTACACTGGACAATGTGCAAACACTTTGGAAAATGTGTGTTGAACATCGGCCAGCGCCGGTTACAGAAGATGTCACCATTCTAAGGGATTATACCATCCACACAGACAGAAAAATTGAAGCAAATAGGCCGGACATTATTGTCAAAACCAGAAAGAAAAAACTTGCCACTACTAATTGATATGGCTTGTCGGATTGTAACATAGCAACCAAGGAATTTGAAAACTATCAAAATACAAAGACCTGGAAATTGAAATAGAAAAATGTGGAAATTGAAACAAGAATAATACCAGTGGTAATAGGTGCACTTGAATTATAAAAAAAGGAACAAAAACATTGAAAGATTGAAAGAAAAGCTTAAGAGACATACAGAAAATTTTTTGCACACACTAAGGAGAACTTTGTTTATGTAACGCTAGCAACTTCATCGGAGATAAAAAAAAAAAAAAAAATTAACATGAAATGTGTACATAATAACACAACGACCTGCCTTTTTAGTGTGTCCATCCGAATGATGATGATGATGACAATAATAATAATAATAATAATAATAATAGTTTCTATGGGTTGTCAGCAAAAGAAACATCCAACATTAGAAATTCGATACTAAAATTCAACAATTTAAATATCTGTCCATAACTTGCCTTCATCAAAGGTCCATTAACTCTTGTTATTTTCTGTGCCTGTTCCTTCAGGACGCGATAATTGAAATCATACAGAAAACATCCTCTTCTTCTCTGTCCATTATCAGGTCCATTGAAATATACAAAACCCTCTTTCCTCATTATGGACCCCAATAATTTCAACTGTCTCTTCATGATGCTAAGTAGAGTTTCCTTTTTGTTTCGATTTTCTCTAGAACTTCGTCGTTACTCATATGTTCTGTCCATGGCATCTACATCATCCTTCTGTAAAAACACGTTTCAAGTCTCGCTTTCATCTATGAGGAAATTCTCCAGCAGTCTCTACTATATAGCAAGATTGATAATACATAACAGTTTAGTAGCTTTTTCTTTGTTTCTAACGACTATTTTTCTGCATAGCTTTTGGAATCAATTTTGGCGATTACAGTGCGACTTCAGATTTCAGCGTCTTCTGTTAAAACATTTCTCGGGCATTTTAATTGGTCACATGATCGATCCCTGGTATCCTCAGCATCTTTCTGTAGAAACACATTTTTGTTGCTTCAGGTCGCTTCTTCGTCAGTGTGGAGATTCTCCAGGATTCTCTACAATATATTAGGAAGTATAATACATAACAGTTCAGTACTCTTTTCTTTAAAGATTTTTTTTCTGTTTTTCTGTTTCTTAATACTCTGCTTAGTTTTTGGAATACGTCTTTCGCTATCTCAATGCGCTTTCTGATTTTAGTGTAACACTTTACGTACCGTGTTAAAACACTTCTCGGATATTTAAATTGTTGTATTTGCGTGTTGAAGTCTCTTGATTTTTCTAACAACCATGCATACAGTCAATTGGTGTATAGCCCTTTTTTCTCGCTTTCCTACATTGCCTTGTGTATGAGTTTTTGTAGTAACTTTTACGTGTCTAAAGTACTAATTGTATCAATAATATGAAGAAGAAAAAGAAGAAAATGTAAAAGAACGAGAAGAAAAAAGAATTCGCTTTTCCTTCTGTTGCCTCTTCTATTGTTGCCCTTTCTAAATTTACTTTTCTTGTCTACACTTCCATTGTTATTCTTTTCTCGTGTCGTTTCCCTCCTTTACTATTTGGCGTTAGTTTTCTTTATTTTATCCTGCTCCTTTTCTATTCCTTTTCCATCGCATCCATTTTGCCCAACATATTCTACTTATTAGTCTTTTCTTCTTTCTTTATTCTCTCTCATTTTCTTTATTCACACCCATTATCTTTTTCTTCATTTCTTTCTTCTATTTTTCTATCTTTTTTTTTTAATATTAATTCTCTTTATAATTCTCTCTTTCAAGTCACTTCTCAAAGGAAAATCGTTCCTCTGGGTGAAGGAGATTTCTGCTTATCTGCGAGAAGAGTCATGCAGCAATTCCTTGATCTCTTTATCCAATGGCGAGCGAAACACAAGACGAAACAATAAATAAGAGTGTACTTAAAGGATATTGAGTTGAAATGGTTTCCTCCGCGCTGGAAATATCCTCCAAGCTTGACCCAGGAGTCGATCAAGTCGTCAGAAGACATTCATAATGAAACCAATCAGATGCTAACGCTTGCAGGAAGTCAGCGATTTCGGATTGCAGAAACGACGTTCAAAAGGGGTGAAATGGGAAAAGCATGCTTTCTTCAAAGTATTCCAAACTTCTGTGAGAGAGAGAAAAAAATAAACCCCATATATTTAGAAATTACTTCGAATTACAAGGGGCACATTGTGATTAAAAAGTAATCACTATACGTAAGAAGTTTTACAGGGTTTGCAGAAGTGACAACATAATATATATATATATATATATATATATATATATATATATATATATATATATATAATTCTGTATTTGGGTAGCAATCTATCTCTTATAGATGTTTCCAAAAAAACCATTGACTAGGTACTGCGTTTAAGCTTTTTATTTAATTTTCTTGTGTTCGTAAACGTGTTTTCTGTTCCGTGCTTAAAGTGTGGAAAAACTGTCCCAACGTTCTGCATATCAGAGTGCTTTCGGCTATTCTTTTAGCCATTATCAAAGGTGATTTTTTTTTAACTAAATGAGTTTTTTTTTTATGAATGTGTCTAACGTTAAAAGATTTTTTTCCCGAATGTGGCCGTGTTCCTAGTTAATGATAATGATATTTCTTTTTTAATCATTTGGGTTTCCATAATTTTTAATCTTTTTGCATTTAGCTGAGGCTATTATACTTGTATTTTCTACTAGTATATTCCGGATAGGGTTTGGTCAGTTTTTGTGTTTCCGTCCTAATTAAGTTATGGTCGTAGGAATAACGAAAGTCACTGTCTATATATATATATATATATATATATATATATATATATATATATATATATATATATATATATATATTTAATTTAGTTTATAAAAAAACTAGGTAATCCGTATGGGTAAACCTAAGGAGGATAAAATCCAGAGAGCTCAATGCAAATCCGAGTAAATAATTTAATAAAAACATTTTTTTAATGTTCCATGTAATAAATTAATTAATTTATTACATGGAACATTTGTATAATATATATATATATATTTATATATATATATATATATATATATATATATATATATTATTAATAAAATCTTATAAGTATAAGAAACTATACTGTTCGAAAACCTACGGTGTCTTGATTTGCAAATAAACAAGCCAATACCAAAGGGAAAAAAGGTATATATAAAAAGAAAGACCCAAGAACATGTACGTTAGCCGAAAATAATTGTCCAGCATGCAAGTCCAAGCCCCCCCCCAAAAAAAACCGATACGAGTAGGCAAAATAACTAAATAAATTGCTCAATACAATGAGTAGAGCAGACCTAGTTATACCTAGACAGCCAGACAAACCTACCAAGGTTTCCCCTAAGCGGATCGTCAGCCAGCCTTCCCTGACGATCCTCTTAGGTGAAACCTCGGTAGGTGTGTCTGACTCTCTAGGTTTAACTATATATATATATATATATATATATATATATATATATATATATATATATATGAGTTTTTTGTTTTCAAATGTTTTAGTGGATGCCCGTATTTGTGTAAACAATATATTTGTGTATTGTGCGTGTTTGTGAAATAGATTGAGAGAGAGTAAGCAAGTTATGAAATTGTTACAGTTATATAAAATAAAAGTCGATATGAAAAAGAATGTACATTTGCTGGTATGAGAGACATGCATCATTGAGTGAAAATCTCGCCAGCAAAACTGTTTTTTTTTTCTAGTAGAATTAACTACTTGCCTGAAACAATATCTTCTTCAAAATATCTTCAGAACTTTTTAGTTTTCAAAACTACTCATCAATTGTTCGTGTTTTGTATTTCATTTTATACCTTTGTTTTTGTTTTAATTAACAATTTGAATTTCATTATTTTTTTCTAATTTTAGACCTGAAAATTATTGACAAATTACTCTATGTCAAGAATAAGTTTAAAATTAACCGTTTCCAAAGAGAAAAGATTCAGAATTCATTGACCAGAGTTACTTTGATTGATTGATTGGTCGTATATTTTGTTTAACGTCGTATCAAACTATATGAGTTATTTAATGCCGAAATCTAAATATTTTGTACTCAATGTTATTATTTTATTTTTTCTTGGCGATAATAATTATTTTAGCCTGGGAGAAAAAAGGTGGATTCATACCTTTTCCAAGTTTGTTGTCACGTAAGTGAATATAATGAACCTAACTGGAATTTGATCTCGGCTACTGATTAAAAATTCCGAATCATTATTTTTGCACCTCCTTCATATCCATACTTATATCACCTGGTATTCCCAAGTGGTAACCAATCCAGATACGGAGCAGGATCGACGTTGCTTAACTTCGGTGATTTACAGGGAACCGGTGCCTCACGGTGATATGGCTGTAAGTTAAACATAGTTACGGTCAAAATTTATGCAGTACTAGCAGCATGTCCCGGTGTTGCCAGTGCTTGATTCAAAAATCGTACGACTCATACAACAATCGCTATCACTTGACTTAAAATATTTTTGCCCTACCTTGCCTTTAAAGGAGTGCCCTTTTCCGTGCTGATGTTGCTACATGCCTTATTTCCTGCCTATCTCACACTGCGAATATTTTCTAAGCTCTATAGTAAACATTAAATCTGTTACGAAAAAAGAACTAAACAAAATGAACACAAAACGATCAGCTTTAAAAAGGACTCGTAACTGGAAAAACCGAATGAAAAAAGAATGTTAACAACAAATACTTTTTCATACCCAACCCAGTTCTGCAGAATCAGAATCAACGTTGCGTTTAAGCAAGTGAATAAGCCAATTGGAGTAAAGTGCCATGTAGATTTAAATTTTTCCCACTTGTGACGAATGCAGCTATCAATTTTTTTTTTTTTTGCCTGTTAACATGCTAGTTAACATTCGTGTCAGTCAGCTGTTGGCTCTCACACTGGCCAGTAGAAATTTCTTGCCTATTCGTGCCAGCCAGCTATAGGCTCTCCCTCTGGCCAGTAGAAAATGGCCGCAAACTAAATGAAAATTGCTGTAGAAGCATGAAAAAATCGATTATTTCCACTATTGATGGGAGTTGGGAAATGCCTTGGCCTTTCCACTAACTTGGAGCATGTGCATGTAAATTTTGGTGCAAATCCGTCGAAAATTGCGGCACACACACACACACACAGACACACACACACAGACACACACACACACACACACACATACATCCTTGCCTTTTATAGATAGAGATATAAAAAAAAACTTTTCTCTTAAGTAGACTTCTCATGTCCACTAAATGTTATAGCCCTTTCTAATATTGGAGAGTTTTTGCAGATAACAATGCGCTTATACTATTGCGCTTATACTATTATTTTATCTTCTAGTTATATGTGCGATCTATTTTTTTTTTGTTTTTGCTGCAGTTGAAAGCATTCAAGCGACGTGTTTTGCCTTTTTTGTATAGTTATTTCTTTAAGATTTCGTAACCCAGTCTTTAAGGTCTGATGAATTATCATCTTCTTGAACATTTATCGGGTTTACTCGTTATATGTCTATATTTCTGAGAAGAGTTATTGTAACTAATCCCACTATTTACATTGTTCTGACTGTTGTCATCATTTTTATTGGAATATGAACAACGTTTCTACTGTTGCGATATACATTGGAATTTCAAACATGTCCCAGTGGATTAAAATGTTGGTTGAAGTAATTCAATGGCTTGACTCAAAGAGTTGTGTGTTCCATACCTGACCACAGTACAGGTGATTAAAAACTTGAAGAGTTACTAAAGGAAAATAACTGATACTGACTTATCCAGCATAGCACGTGGGACTAGAACAATCTACCCCACTGAAAGAAATAAAGAGTTCAGTTCGAAATGCTTACTTATAAAAACGAAACCAAAAAATGGTAATAAAGATGAGAACAACAATCCAAATAATGTAAATAGTGTAAAGTGTTATTTATTTGAATTTATTGTGTTTTAATATAAAAAGATATTGTTTGTTAAGAAGCCAAAGCCTGGTCAATACCTAGATGGGGGTTCATACAGAGTACCAGGTGCTGTGCGGTGTAAGAGTGGTGATAACGGCGTCGGAATAGAAATCAGGGTCCAGAGTCCTAATTCCAGTCGGGTCCATTATATTCACTTAGGCGCAAATATCCTTGGGAAAGCTATGAATTCACCTCTTCTCCACCAGCTATTATTAGCTCTTGTTTTAGTAAAAAAAATCATTATTATCTGCCCAAAATTAAAAACAAAATTTAAAATATTTTCTGGCTTTAAATAACATGCAAATGGTTGATAAGCAATGACAAAAAAATTAATAAGTAAATTGTGTTTTATGTAAAGTATTTATTTTCAAATTTAAAAATTTCTCTATTATCCAGTTTCAGCATTCGAAATTGCTGATTAATTGATCTATAGATTCTATTTAGTTAACCCATTTGCAAATTATATTATTTTTAGCTTTTATAAACTTCCATACATTGGGAGAGATTGGCAAATGATTACTTACGACGCGTTTCATTCATCGGTTGTCGGACTAAACTATGTGTACGAACGAGGGATGTTGGGAATTTATCTCTTTCAGTCTGTTCACATTCATCTATCTATCTATCTATCTATCTATCTATCTATCTATCTATCTATCTATGTCAATCTGTTCGACATCTGTCTATGTGTTTATCTTTTACGCTGGGATTTGGGAAATTACTTCCAGTTATACAAAACGATTTACAACTAATATAGAAACATCTTTTTTTTTCTATATTCTTTCAAACGAATGCATATGATGTGATGACACATATATTCAGCTATTGCTATGTACACAATCTTCATCAATAAGAAAAATAAATAAATATTTTCAATCAAGAAGGATTGAAGATAGTTGGTTGGGTCAAGAAAAGATTTGTTGAAGATTTTTTCTTTCGAAATAATTTGATCCTTTAATCATGAATAAAGAATTGACGACAGAATTATTACTTCCCTTATATCAGTTAATAGGCCTTGCTAACGATTGTTAACCATTTTTTTGTATACAGGTAACAAAATAAAAAAAAAATATTAGGTCATTCGATTTTTCTTGTTTATTTTTAGCTATTTACCTTTAGAATTTTATCCACGCTTATTTTTAATACAAAGAGCGAAACCCTTACGTGTTTGAGTTAACAAGACAGCGATTTCAAAATTGAAACCTTTCCAAATTAACTAATGCTTCTTGTAATAGCGCAATGTCTTGATGAAAACCTTCATTTATTTAAGTACATCTCTGACACATGACAATCCTAGAGTAACACTGCTTAAATAACATCAGCTTCCAAACGTGTGCTATGTCGAAATATACGTGTGTTTGTTTCTGAAGGTGCGTATATTTGCTCAAAATGTATGCCTCACTGAATGAAATTCTCTCTGTGTGAAAGTGAGTAACTGTCTATAAGTTTGAGGTAATTATAAAGTTTGTAAATAACTCTGGCAGGTTATAGAATAAGGTATGCAACGTGTATAACCTTGTTTGACACCTGGTACATTCACTTCGTCGATGTGATCAGCAGGAAGCCATACAGATGTCATGAGTGAATATCATTAGATTGGCGTAATTAGCGACATCTTATGAAGACTGGTATGATGATGACCATAGGGAATATCTTAAATCGGGATAGAGTTTGCGACACACGACACATGAGGTCGAGGGTTGAATTTTGCTGAATTTACATTGATGCAGTCTTTCGAATATTTGAATCATGTACTGAAAATTCACTAGAATTATTACGCTATATAAATATCAGGAACATGAAAAATAAACTTAAAATCAAGTAAAGAGAATAAATAAATCTTCTTCGGAGTGTAGACGATCATAACTCTCTACAAACTCCTATCTTTTGAAGCTCTGAGTAATCATTGTCTTATTACTTTCACACACACAAATCCACTCTGTATTCTATTCACATATCGTCGCTCGGTGTTCCACTGTTATTTCTCCTGGTTCTTTTGTATTGATAAATCCTGTGTGCGACACAAAGTGTGTATAAGCTGTCAAAAAAATTCTGCAGATTCGAGCGATTTCGCCTATTCATTTAGCCATTATCAGGTGTGATTATTATTTTTAACTGAATGTGGGGTTTCTTTTGAAATGTTTCACACACTTTGTGTCCATAATAGAACACACCAGTACGAAGAGAAGAAAAATTAAATAAAAAGCTTAATCACAATTCCTTGTCAGTCGTCTTTAAATAAACTTGTATAAAAAAGAGATTGCTGCCTTATTTATGGCTCTTCGTTAAGACGAACCGAATTATCCGGTCACTGGTGTCTTTGTCTAAAAATAAATACGTCTAAATTCACCTTCATCCCTACCGTGCGCTACTGGCTTAGGGGTAACATTTCATACCAAATCTGTCTGGTTTCGATCCCCGCATGAGGGAATCGGATGTCTGAATCCTTGCGAAACAATCTGTCTGTGAATTACTCAAAGGATATATAATATATATATATATATATATATATATATATATATATATATATATATATATATATATATTTTTTTTTTTTTTTTATCGCCTATAAATATGCTGTTTCTCTTTGCCTCTTTACCCGAAAGCTTTCTCCCTGACGATCCCTTAGGTGAAAACTGGGTAGGTTTGTCTGGCTCACTAGGTATATTCATCATCTATCTATTCTATCTATATATACATATATATATATATATATATATATATCATATATATATATATATATATATATATATATATATATATATATATATATATATATATATATGCGTGTATAGCTTGACGGGACGTATTTGAGGATCACGTCATCTAAGAGGGCGACTGCCAATCCCTATTGCAGACGGCTGTTCAGGGGCAATTCTGTATTCAAACCCATTAGTGACCATTTTGGTCTGAAATTTTACATAAGACAACTATGCTGAGCAGACCTTAGTTACCGTCTCTGGAAGAGAGATTGTGCTATCTAGCGTGACCAACAATTTGCATGCCTCGACCACGATGACTTATGACTTCGAAATATTGCAGAAACAATCATTAAATATATATATATATATATATATATATATATATATATATATATACACACACTCACACACACACATATATATACATGTATATATATATATTTGGTTCATATATAGAATATATATATATATATATATATATATATATATACTTTTAGGAACTGCAGCTATGTTGATGCAGACCTTAATTACAGTTTCTGGGAAAGTCGTTTTATCTAACGTTTCAACAGTTTGAACAAGACCATAAACCCCCGACCACGACGACTTGTGACTTCTAGCAAAGCTATGGATTTTATTTATATATATATATATATATATATATATATATATATATATATATATATATATATATATATATATTGAACAATAAGAAAATAAAAATTAAAATATTTAGACACACTGGGTTGTAGATTAATATTCTTTCGTTTTTTTATTATTATTCTATTTAGATTCCTCGACTAGCTTCGACCGAAATGGCCATCATCGGGAGGAGAAATATTTCTGCTTGCTGTTAGCAGTGAACTACAGAAATGAATGTCTTGATGGAGAAAATGAACTTTTGTCTGTAGTTTTCATTTGTTTTTTTATTTTTTTATCTTTTTAACATGAATCTTTTAACATTCCTTGTGTTGGCCAAACATCTCTTTTAAGTTGTTATTTGAGATAAGTGCTGGATAGATACATATTATTCTGAATTCTCTGGTCAGTTTGACAGTTTTATTGGACCTGGTGAGGGGATGTGTCTCTGTTTAGTGTCTGTGTGTGTGTTATTTGGTTCTTAGGGAGTGAGTGAGTATGATATGTGTAAGCATGTGTATTGCTGTAGGTGTGTGTTATCATTTGGCTCATTAGGGAGTGAGTGAGTATGATGTGTGTAAGTGTGTATATTCGTGTGGGTGTGTGTATAAGCGTGAGGCCTCCACACCTCCGTAAGCATGTCTGTCTTGTGTGGGTGAGAAATGTGGGTAGGTTTTGATTTGTTGACTATCTATATATTGTTAAATTTATGATTTAGCCCGGCTGGGTATTTTGTTTTTAGACGTTGTATCCACTTATTTTCATGGGACTCTAAAATCTTTCTAATGTTATCTGCTCTGAACTTTTCTATTCTCTCAATTATAGTGAATGGTTTTGAAATCATGTTTTTCCAGGCGGAAATGTTGTTCTACAGGTAATAATTTTTCATGGGGAGTCGATTTAATTCGCTTACGATAATTATTAATTCTGTAGTGAAAGGGCCATTCAGATTTTCCTTCATATTGTTTCTGGCATAGTGTGTATTCTAGGAGGTAAATTATGTTATGACTTCTACAGTTAGAATCGTGGTAGATTTTGAAAAGTAGATTTCTGATTGAGCTAGTGAATGAATTCGTGTTTTTAATATGGTTGCAACATAAACTTTTTTTGTTGTTACATGGTTGGGAAAATCCTGTTGTTTTTGTTCTTAGTTCATTACGGATTACCTTGTCCCCTGAAATGTGGTTACTACTTATGATTTCTTTTTAGGTTCTTAGGTGTACGATATGCAAGAAGGCTGGGTTCCTTAAGCAGTTTTTTAGGTCTGGTTTGAGATGTAGTTCCCAGCGACGTTTGATTATTTGGGATAGTGGAGGCAGAGTGGGATTGAAAGTGGTTACTAGAGGGATGCGGCTAGATTTATTTTTAATCTTGTACATTAGGGTGTCTTCTCTAGGTGTGGAAATTGCTTTATTTATTTGTTCCCTGATTAGGTGTTGTTTATAGCCACGTGTTGTGAATTGATGCTCCAGATTTTCAAAGTGTTTATTTAATTCTTCATTGTTGGAACATATCCTTCTGAGTCTAAGTGCTTGTGAATAGGGAAGGTTCTCTTTGAGGTGTTTAGGTGGGAAGACTTAAAGTGTAGATAGTTGTGGGTGTCGGTTATTTTAGTGTGTAGTGTCGTTTGTAGTTTCCTGTTTTCATCTATGTAAATGTGGGTGTCTAAAATGCTACTGATGTTGTGGATTTTCATAGTCAAACTTAATTGAGTCGTGCACTGTGTTTAGGGTCATAAGGAATTGGGTAAGTTTGTCATCACTACCTGTGTATACAAAGAATATATCATCGATATATCTTGTATAGAATACGCAGTCGCTACCAATGATTGATAGATATGGGTCTCCTCAAATTTTCCCATGAATATTGTAGCATATGATGGAGCTGCAATGGTGCCCATGTCACAACCTCTTATTTGAAGTTAGTGTGCTCCATTGAAGTTGAAAGTATTCAATGTAAGGACATGCTCCATGAGTTTTATGATGACTTCTGTGTGTGTGTGTGGGGGGGTCTTGTTTTCTTCTTTTAGTAAGTGCTTCCTGAAGGGCGGCCAACCCTTCGATGTTTTTAATGTTTGAATAGAGTGACCTAACGTCCGTAGTCACTAGAATAGCATTCTCTGGTATGGTTTGTATATGATTAATTTTGTTCAGTAGATCTGTTGTGTCTCTGGTGTAGGATTTTACTTCCTTATCTAGCGGTTGTATGTAATGGTCTATGTATTTGGGAATTTTTGTCGTGTGGCAGTTGAATGATGAAATAACTGGCCTTCCTGGGTTGTTGCTTTTGTGTATTTTAGGAAGGAGATAGAAACGTGCAGGTTTAATGTTTGTGGGTGTAAGTGTTGTGCATGTTTCCTTGTAGATTATATATATATATATATATATATATATATATATATATATATATATATA